ATACTGTTTATTTTATTTAATTCATATTTCATAATATTAAAAGTATTCTCGCTGCTGTATACACACACATAGCTACGAATAGAACATATAGCATCTATTTGGTTAATAGTGTGTTATTTGATCCTTGGAAATGACGGATTGGAAAAACGGTATCTCGACGCTAAGAATTTCTATAGGTTTTCATACTAGCAATTCATGAAAGGGAAAAATTTCAACGCATCACCCTCCGAAGTCCATCGCAGACAACGCGCATGACAAGTATGCAGTCTTGTTTGCAATACGATGTTGAAAATATAAGATACACGAAATATACGGATAGCACCCAGCTACACACCTTCCCACGCGGAATGAGAATGGCTTATCCTTATCCCGAGAGCTATCGAATTGCTCTCCTGTATCAAGCAATTTACCCGTATAATGTACATGCACAGTATCACCCCCACGTGCTTTGTACAGACACTCTTCTTCGGGTACGCGTTTCTTAACACCAATGCCCAGGTCTTTCAGGGGATTTGCATTTGCGCATACAGCACTAAGTACCAGACACAAGGCAGGCACTTGAACCAGAAATCGTACCATCTCACTTTACAATATTAGCCAACTATAAGAGAATACTGGCCCTCGGGCGAGACAAGCTGCTGTAAGAAGTAAACAAATCGATTACATATACCATTTTTTTAAACCATAGCCACCTAAATTGTGAATACATTAAAACCCTACAGATAACTTTTTCTGTGCTTTTTTAGCTAAAAAAAAAAATGCTTTTACTATTTGTTAGTACCGAACTTTAAGTGATAGGAAGCCTGCAAGTCATTTAGGGGTTTTAACTTCTATTTAGGTCCACTGCCGACGCCGACTTTGGTATTTAAGCTTAGAGTATAATGAATGTAGCTTGCACCCGTAGACGGACACTGAGAGAGGTCCTAAGCGTCTTCTAGCACAAGTGGTATGGCAATACACGCGCAAGGGCAAAGTATTCCAGACAACTTCTGTTATCAGGACCTGAAATGAATAGAGATTGTTCGTAGCGTGAACTACCTATGCACCGCTTATTAAACTCGTACACCAATGGGAACGCGACTACTAACCGCATATCTCCCAAAAATATATAGAGAGTGCGTACAACACCCCAGTTAAGATTTAAGATCTCCACTACTTTACTATATAAAATGGAGTTGGATTTCATGCGACAATACCCCTCGGCTATCATTCCTTAGAAACCCGCTTGCTTTTAACGGAAAAGGAATCTCTAGGACAACTTTAGTAAAAGTGTATCTTGAAACATCCAGCTCAAAATAAAAACTCCAGGATAGAATAGGGATGTAAACAGAACAGAAATACATGTGAGTGAGAAGTTTTCCGTTTTACTGTCGCTAAAGAACCAAATCTCGACAACAGGAACGACAGCTGCGAAATGCGGCACAGAAATCTTTATTTCATGTTAATTATTATTACTGGACGATTTCATGTTACTTCTTTTTACTAGACGATTTAACTTTTTTTAACCTCTCGTTCCCGGCGAGCACCTCTGTTAATAGAAGAACAGGGACACGACGAAAACGTAAGTATTTTACACCCAATCAGCTAATGATATATATATATTTATATATATATATATATATATATATATGTGTGTGTGTGTGTGTATATATATCTATAT